CCTGCTCGCGGTCCAGCGCGAGGAGCTTGTTGTGGTTGTCGGTGAGCGTCTTCTGGTGCTCGCACGTCGCCTGGGGCAGCTGCGGCGCGTGGCACAGCGGGTTGTCCAGCACCGGTCCCGTGCGCGTCTCCACCTCCCAGGCGAGCGTGGCGTTCAGCTGGTACAGGCTGTTGACCGCGGCCAGGTAAACGCGACGCGACACCGCGTCCACCACGAAGTTATTGGTGCGGGTGGGAGACGCGAACGCCTGTTGAATCTGGAGCGCGGCGGCCGTGCGCGTTTGGAGAGCCGTTAGAAACACGGCGAAAACCGTCGCTAAGAGCCCGAGAGAGGATCTGTTCGCTGGAGAAGGAGGCATTTTTCCTTCTGGCTGGCTTCCGCGGGTTCTGGACGGAGAGGCGCATTGAGCCAGCGGAAAAGAGCGCAACTATCCGGGAGGAAAGACCGTTTCCTGCCGACCGCCCGAGCACCGAATGACGTGACGAGGCGCCTCCGCTTCCTCATAGAAACTCTCGCAGCTCTGGGCGCTCACCGTCTCTCTGGAGATCTGTCCGTGTGATAGCCTCAGCATTACGTCTGATAATTACCCGTGAAAAAGAAAATATAGAATATACTTTAGAGAATATACCGCGACAGGACTATAAATTTTTTTTTTAATTAAAAAAAAAAAAAAAAAGTTGTAATTATAAACAGTGTTAGAACTTGATCAAAAGTCCTTCATGAGAAAAGAAATTTGCAACTTTGGAATGTGCAGTGATGCTCTCATGAAGTTGGATGAGAAGTTTACGGGTCCAGAAAAGCTTTTGCTCACTTTGTGTTTTGATTTTTTAAAAATGTGGAAACAGTAATAATAGGTTTGTCCAAATGGCACAAAGTGTTAAAACAGTGTACCAAATTGATTATGGTATTTATAAGGTACTGTTTGCCATACACGTTAGAACAACATACTTATAATATTGTTTAATCACAAAAAAAAAAGATTTTAACTTAATAACAATCATGATATTTTCACTTTCACACTCCATCTATTGCATTGTGCTCTTCAATAATGGATAGCAGTCAACCTTCTGAGAAGTGCATTTGTCTAGTTGATGGTAAAACAGCAGTGTTCAACTAACAGCAAAAGAACAGCAGTCACAGAGATGCACACTAAAGGTCGACTGTCTCGAAATGACTGCAAATCAACTGTAACAGGTATCAGAACTGCTTCTGATTTGATTGTGTGTGTGTGTGTGTGTGTGAGAGAGAGAG